CTAATTATTTAGTGGAGACTTCATATCCTAAGTCTTCACTAAAAAACATTCTGAAAATCTTTCTTAGTGGAAATTCATTAACTCAACAATGCAGAAAATCCTATCAGGGCTTCTATGTCCTACTCACATTTAACTGGAATATACTAAATTTTAAAGGAGAAGAGGCATAAAGCAACTTTGATGCATCTGTGACTGTAAAAGTAATATTGGGCTATCTCTCTTTTCATTACTGTATGAAGCATGAAAGGTACAGTAGTATCACAATATCATATTCTGGAGTTGTTCATAGCAACAACTTCAGAATCATTTTAATTATTAAAAATTATGTCAGCATACATGTAAACTGAAAGTGCTTTAGTTTGTAAGAAATTGAGCTTCTAGTTTATTACTTTGTTTTCTTGTTAGGAGGGAAGCTCTTAAAGCTGCTTGCAGTGTTAATTGCACATTTCTTTCCTGTCTTGCAGAGAATGCCATAAAATCACTGATGTGTTTGTTCTCATTTCCAAAAGCTAATATAAGGGAAAAAACCTACTTAGCATGGAGCCAATCCTGCTTACTGTAAAACACTTTTATTTTTAAACTGTTATGATAAACACTTTTTGCATAAGAACAAAGAAATAAGGGGAAGCTAAGGAAGAAAACAAAATCCATTTAAATCCTATGATGAAAAAAAAAAAAACAACATAATTTTTATTAAATACCAGCTCTCAGAAATCTATAAGGGAACATAAGTTTTGAACTACCTCTTAGTACTGAGGTAGCGCAAAGAGATTGTTAGTTCCACTTGATCGAAACAGGTAACACATTGACCGTAATGACCAGTATACAGTTGTAAGACTTAAAATAGGCTAAAAATTACAAAATTATTTACCTTTGTTCAGCAGGAACTGGGGAAAAAGGTAATCTGTTAGCTACATCATACCTAACTCATAATGCAATAAATGAAATTTATTTCCTTATTAGAGGAATATAAGTGGAATGTATAGTGGATATACATTATAGTGGATATGTATATTATATATTATATATTTTAAATACATAGATGTCCTGGGTTCAGCAGCAGCAGTAGTCTAATACTGATAGAGCAGTTAAACATGCAACCTTAGCAAAAAAACAACAAAAACAAACCATCCACAAAAAAAAAAAGAACAACAGCAAAAGCAAACTTTTTGCTATTTATGCCTATAAAGAGGCATTAAGATTTAGTTCTCAGGTATAGCAGTGCTGTAGACACAGAAACATTATCATTGTCCTGGGTTCAGCAGCAGCAGTCATTTTTCTCCTTCTTACAGCTGGTGTAGTGCTGTGCTTTTTACTTTTGACCTGGGAACAGTGCTGATAACACCAATGTATTTAGTTGTTGCACAGTAATGTTTTCTCTGACCAAGGACTTTGTGAGTCTCATGCTCTGCCAGGGAGGAGGGGAAGCCAGGAGGAAACAGAAACAGGACACCTGATCCAAACTAAACAAAGAGGTATTCCATACCACAGCATGTCATGCCCAGGATGTAAACTGGGAGGAGATAGCTGGAAGGGCTATATCACTGCTCGGGTCGGGCTGAGTAGCGGTGGGTGGGTGGTGTTATTTCCCTTATCATTATTATTATTGGTGGTAGCAGTAGTGGGTTTGTGTTACACCTTAGTTACTGGACTGTTATCTCAACCCGTGAGAGTTACATTCTTTTGATTCTCCTCTCTATCCATCCGAGAGCCGGGGGGAGGAAGGGGTGGAGTGAGCAAGCGACTACATGGTTCTGAGTTACTGACTGGACTTAAACCACAACAATAGTGGATATATATTCCTTATATAGTGGAATATAAAGAAATAATAATTTCCTTATTATTGTAAATCTTCCACGCTTACAATATTGAAAAGCAGCATGTATGTTTGGTGAAGCTCAAGGTTAGTAAAATCAAATATCTGCTGAAAGGACCTTTTCTTGCAGTCATTTGCCTTAGAGCTTCAAGCTACTGAGTTCCTGCATCTGGGAAATATCACTACTGTAATTGTGCGGTCTAGTTATGCCTGGTGTGGGACTAACCCTGTAAACAAGGAGCATAAGTAGTTTTGACACACAGGTTCCTTTGATAGCCTTTTTATAATCCATATACAGAGTCACAAACCATTGCTGGCTTTTTTTACCTCTAGGTGAGATAGGAGCAAATTCATAACCTTGGCCTGACTATTCTTTTCATTCTCATGTAGCCTTTGTCAGAGTATTTAAGCACTTTTATGTAGAGAATTAAATCATGTAACAAGTATCTGGTTTGCAGGAGCTGTTTTCTCCTTCATCTTCTCTTGCAGACTGACTTATTACAGAAGAGTGGGCTTTCGTTTGGTTCTGTTTTAACGCTTTGTTCGTTTGGTTCTGTTTTAATACTCCTCCTATGTATTTATCAGAGAGGAAACAAGATCAAAGGAACACAGGCTGGGCATTCATTCTGCAGCCTTAAATCAACCCTGAGGATGTTCTGCCTGTATCATTGTGGTGGGTTGACCTTCTCTGGCTGACAGGTGACCACCACAGCTGCTCTATTACCTCCCTTCATCTCTGAGACAGCAGGAGAAAATACAACAAAAAGTCCATGGGGCAAGATAAGTACTGGAAAATCACTCACCAGTTACTGTCATGGGTGAAACAGACTTGAGTTGTGGAAAATTAATTTAATTTACTGCCAATTAATCAAGGTAGGTTAATGAGAAATAAGAGCAAGTCTAAAGTACACCTTCCCCCACACCTCCTCCTTCCTAGGACCAACTTCACTCCCATCTCCTCTTTCTCCTCCCCTTTCTAAGTAGTGCAAGGGGAAGGGAAATGGGGTTGCAGTAGTTCATAATGCTTTATCTCTGCCTCTCCCTCCTCCTCACACTCTTCCCCTGCTCCAGCATGGATTCACTCTCATGGGAGACAGTCTTCTGTCTTCACAAACTTCTCCGATGTGAGCTCTTCCCACAGACTACAATTCTTCATGAACTGCTCCAGCATGGGTCTATTCCAAGCAGAACAATCCTTCAGGGAAGGACTGCTTCAGTGCGGATTCCCCACAGGGTCACAGACCCTGCCAGAAAACTTGCTCAAGCATGGGCTTTCCATGGGCTGCAACTCTATTCAAGGCACATCCCCCTGCTCCATTGTGGGTCCTCCACAGGCTGCAGGTGGATATCTGCTTCACCATGGACTTCCATGGGCTGCAGGGGCACAAACTGCCTCATCATGGTCTGATTCATGGGCTTCAGGGGAATTTGCTCCAGTGCCTGAAGCATCTCTTCCACCTCCTTTTTCACTGAACTTGGGGTCTGCATAGTTGTTTCTCTCACATTTTCTCCCCTCTCTCTCAACTGTTGTTATGTAGTGATTTTTACCCTTTCTTACAGATGTTATCACAGAGGCACTATCAGCATTGCTGATTTTGGCCATCTTTGGCCAGCAGCAGATCCATCTTGAATCTGGCTGCAGCTGGCTCTGTCCAGCATGAGAGTAGCTTCTGGTGTCTTCTCACAGAAGCCAACCTCGCAGAGCCCCTTCTAGCAAAACCTTGCCATGTAAAACCAACCCAACACAATCATCAACAAGCATCTCCCTCCATGTACAGTTATTCTTTGCCATACTTCCTCCAGAAGCTGTACCTGCTCCTTTGAGTATCCCAACCAATCCTGCATATATGGATGCAATTTGCTGTTGGGTGCCCTACTACTGATTTTGTTGTTATTTGAAATCTCCTTATACTGAAAACCCATTAATACAATACAGTTGAGAAATGACAAATCAATGATAACTAAACAAGACACTGTTCACCATACTGGAATGCAATTTCTTAGTGAAATAGATATGATTTCTTCAAAAGGTTGAAATATTCCTTCGCATCTTACAGCAAAAAACCACCGGAAAAAAAAAAAAACACAACAAACAAAAAACAAAACAAAACAAAATTAAAAAAAAACAACACCAAAAAAATTTACACCTTTTCACATCTTTTAAAAAGCAGACTGAATGGACTTGGCTCTAGCCTCCGCTCCCCTTGTCTTTCCTTTTAATTCCTCTTTCTAAAATTTTTTTATTATTTGCATTGCATATTTGCTGAAGTATTCCTATCTGCTTCCCTCAGTTTCTGCTTATCCATGGTGAAACTTTCCCTGGCTACCTCAAAATGGTTTTATGATATTACATAATGACATAAAAATACCCCATAATTCTCAACAGTTCACTCCAGATGCTGATCCCTCTAAAAGTGGCTCCCCAACAGGCTATGAACTGCATCAAGATGGAAAAATGTGCACCATATGGACTGTTGCCTCTGAGCAGGAAACAGACAGACTAACCTGTCTTCTTAGTTTCTCCGCTTTCTCTTTTCCAACTGCTACACCTTCTTAGGGTTATCTTAGTATTTTGCTGTTTCTTTTCAGAGCAGTGTAGCCTAGTGTTATTTAAAGCAACTCAGCAATTTTCTGACTCTTAATTTTTATTTATTTTTTTTTCTCCTAAACAACTGGAGCCTACATTTTTTTTCTGATTTTTCCTCTGTTACCTCCAACTCAGTCTTTGTGTATAAATTGTTTTCTCACTTACTGTTCACCTCCTTCCCCTTTTTATGAGATCCCTATGCCTTAAAGTTATTTTCTTCACATTGCGTAGTAGATTTTGTCCCTTTCACATCATCATTTTAATGAAAAATTTATTAAGCGGAAGAATATAGGCCACTTCTGTTGCAACTCCAAAAAGGATCTAGATATTGAACTGCACTGACATCAAAAAACAGATTTTGGTCAAAAGAGTACTATTTTGTGTCTGAAGAAATGCTAAGAATATTAAGAGACAAGAATAAAAATTCAACTTAAAAAAGCCTGTGTTACTGAATAAACCTGAGGCGTTGCACATGAACAGATGAACACGGGTTACACAATGCACTGTGAAAAAGGAGTTCTTGTATACTGTGAAAACAAACCAGACTCTGAAGCTTGCTGCGTCTGAATGCAATCCTGATATCAAACAGCCACTCACATGCCAGGTACATATAGAACTACAGCTCTTCTATGGAAACTGTTTGAAAATGGTACTTTCTTCTTCCTCAGGTCTGTTCCTTCTGTATCTTCAGTGTTACACCTGCACGATCCAGAGAAAAGCTAAGTTTACTGCTGTTAGACTTTGAAATCAAAACACAGTAAAGAGGAGCTGAATTAGATTCTACATGCTCAGGAATCAAAAAAAAAAGCTGGTATTTAATGTCCCAGGTAGTTACAGATAAATTAATTAATAGGTTTCACCAATCGTTATTGTTTCAGAATTTAAAATTAATGAGACTATGCCTGAAGACATTTATTGGTCAGTAGAACTGTTATTACAGTTTATAATAAATGAAAAAAAAGATAACCAGGGAAGTTTGTAGGCAATTAAAAAATCTTAAGCACATCTACTGAAGACTTATTGTATACCAGCAAAGACAGGACCCAGCATTTTGTCCTTTGCAGCCTTTTTTTTCCAACATGAATCTTCCCTTCAAAGAGAAAACAGTGACATGAATGTACCACTGACCTAGTTATTAACCTACTGCACTTGTTCTACAAGAACAGCTGCTGCTCATCTCAGAAAACAGCAAACCGGCACCACTTTAATACCTTTGCAATGAATGTCTTTCAGCTTCATTCTGAGAATTTTGTGTGAAATAGAAAATATGGTCTAATTAATCCAAAGTTCTTTGTCTCTATAAATATGCAGTTGGCAACTTTCTTACAGCATAATAGCATAGTTTACTATACATTGTCTGCTACTTGTCAAAAGAACAGACAATGTATAAACACTGAAAATAAAATTGCATGTGTCATATCTGAGAGAAAATATGTTGCTGTTCAAAATTGAATGAACACTTTATAAAAACATAGTGTTCTGCCCCAGCAAGTTCAGTTACTCAAACTCCATTTTGCTACGTTATGCTGGGACAAAGATTTATGTCTTCATTAGAATAAAATAGAAATACCTTAGACTACATTGTTTTTAAACTAGAAAAATCAGTAAAGTACCATATTACCAAGGTCAATGTTGTATAGTACCAGCAGACACAAACCCATTGATAAGCATTTCTGAAAGACTGCCACAGTTTTAAGCTCTATTTCAATGGATGATTGAATTTTCCTCTTCCCTATGACACAGCAGGGACACTCCAGTTCCAGTAACAGGTTAATTCTGACCCAGTGACTCCTCTTGTTTTCTATCCCTGTCAAGCCAAAAATGTGCTTTGTTCTCAAGAGCAAATTACAATTTATTTAATTCTCTGTATAAACCCTAAATGTGTCTGCATATTGAAGAAACAAACATAAGCCTACTAAACAATAAAAATCTTGTGGGAAAAGAGAGTATTGTCTCTAGCATGCTTCCCAATGTGGAAACACCCTTGAAAGAGGAAAGCTATTGCAGATTGCTTCATTTCAATGAATTTCAGCTATTTGAAATATAGATGCCTATTTTTGAATTAATTGTTCTATGTTTTCTTTATAGCTCGCAAAGACCTATAGGCAATTCTAGGGTATTATTGATATTAGATGTCAACAATAGGATTAGATGAATTGCACCCCAGGGCTCACTATTACTCTTTGCTGACTCTGAAAGGAACCTGAGGCGACTAGCTAGGCAATAGAGATCTGCACTATATATTTACAACGTAACTGAAATTAATCTCAGTTTTGTCATAAAAATTATAACTTGTATTTCAGACAGGGGTCTAAATGTCTATTTCTGTTTGCATTGACTTAGACTATGTAATGATTTGCTGCATCATCAACATCATCATCTGAAACTACTCAAGAACAAACAATCCACACAGAGCAGAGAGCTGCCATTATTATTATTTAGACCAGGACAGGTAACCCACAAAAGAAGCAGCTGTAACGGATTTATCTCAGGAGACATAGCTCAAATCAATCTTACCTACAAGTCCTTCAGCAGGTGTGCTTTAATCCGAGTCTTTCAGTCTGAAGATTTTCCCCAAATCACTGTCAGCTGTAACAGGGTATATTACAGATTTTTGTCCTCCCGTCATCTTTGACATGAAGGGTACTATGTGTTGAAAAATTAAACAACTAAATGTATGTTTCTGCATACAGGTATCTACATGTATCATAAGTGTGTAAGCTCCCCTTACAGTTGATGCTGGCAGTGGTTTCTGAAGAACAATTCAGCTGGTCAGCCCCAGAAGTTCAATTCAGTTGTCTAAAGGCAAGCATTTAGTGTTATTTGACATATCACAGAGCAGATGAGAAATTCTCTAAGGTCTGGCAAATAGATGTCATCCTTTCCAGAGAATCTGCCGAAGCCAGGCAAAAAGCCATATGATGTCTCAAATAGTGAAAGCAATCTGCATTGAGACAACTCAATAAAGCTCTTTACCAAGATCTCCACTGACACACAGAAATTTATACGTTGGTGTCTAAATCTAACACTGAATGACTTCAAGTGGAACCCAATCTCTAGTGCTGCTCTAGAGGATGTCTAAACATAGCAAAAAATTTTGATCTCTTGATCTCTATTTGAACTCCCTTCTACAGTGTCATCTATGACTTTCCAATATTTTATAGACATATGCAGTACCACTGAAGCATACAAAATGTAGAAGCAAGGACAGCCAGCCTGAGAGGAAAGCAAAGAAATTGTCCAAGCTGCCAGGGATCAGGTTAGAAAAGTTAAAGTCCTGATAGAATTAAATCTGGCCAGGGACATCAAGGGCAACAAGAAAAGCTTCTATATAGATACATCGATAATAGAAGGAAGACTAGAAAAATTGTGGGCCTTCCTTCCCAAAAGGAAATGGGAGATCTGGTTACCCAGCATACAGAAAAACCCAAGGTACTCAAGGACTTTTTTGCCTCAGTCTTCACCTGCAAGTACTCCAGCAATCGGAGCAATCCCAGACACAGCTACAGGTTGGGCAAAGAAGAGATTCAGAGCAGCCCTGTGGAGAAGGACTTGGGGGTGTTGGTTGATGAGAAAATGAACATGAGCTGGCTTCAGTGTGTGCTTGCAGCCCAGAAAGCCAACTGTATCCTGGGCTGCATCAAAAGGAGCGTGACCAGCAGGTCCAAGCAGGTGATCCTGCCCCTCTACTCTGCTCTCATGAGACCTCACTTGGAGTATTGTGTGCAGTTCTGGTGTCCTCAACATAAGAAGGACATGGAACTGTTGGAACAAGTCCAGAGGAGGCCCACAAGGATGATCAGGGGGCTGGAGCACCTCCTGTATGAAGACAAGCTGAGAAAGTTGGGGCTGTTCAGCCTGGAGAAGAGAAGGCTGCATGGAGACCTCATAGCAGCCTTCCAGTATCTGAAGGGGGTTATAAGGATGCTGGAGAGGGACTCTTCATTAGGGACTGTAGTGACAGGACAAGGGGTAATGGGTTCAAACTTAAACAGGGGAAGTTTAGATTGGATATAAGGAGGACATTTTTTCCTGTTAGGGTGGTGAGGCACTAAAATGGGTTGCCCAGGGAAGTTGTGAATGCTCCATCCCTGGTGGTATTCAAGGCCAGGTTGAATGAAGCCTTGGGTGGCATGGTTTAGTGCGAGGTGTCCCTGTCCATGGCAGGGGGGTTGGAACTAGATGATCTTAAGGTCCTTTCCAACCCTAACTATTCTATGATTCTAAGTCACAAAACATAAAGGCAGGGACTGAAAAATGAATACCTGCTGTAGGTTCAAGACCATCTAAAGAACCTGAAGGTGCACAAGCCTGTGGAACATGACAAGAGACATCCATGGGTCCAGAAGGAACTGGTGGATGAAGTGGCTAAGATATTATCCATCATATTTTAGAAATCATGGCAGTCCAGTGAAGTTCCCACTGACTGGAAAAAGGGAAATATAACTGTAATTTTTAAAAAGGGAAGAAAGGAAGATCTGGGGAGCTACAGCGTGGTCAGTCTCACGTCAGTGCCTGGCAAGATCATGAAGAAGATCCTTCTGGAAAGTGTGGTGAGGCACACGGAAAGTAAGGTGATTGATGATAGCCAGAATTGCTCCACTAAGGGCAAATCGCTCCTGACAAATGTGGTGGCATATGACAGGGTTACATTAGTGGATAAGTGAAGAGTGACTGACATCATTAACCCAGACTTGTACAAAGCATTTGACACTGTTCTGCATGACACCCTTGTCTCTGAACTGGAGAGGCATGGATTTGATGCATGGACCATTCAGTGAATAAAGAATTGGCTGAAAGTTTTGAAAAAAATTGAGTTGAGGTAAATGGCTTGATGTCCAAGTGGAGACCAGCGGCGAGTGGTATTCTTCAGTGGTCAGTACTGGGACCAGAGTTGTTTAATACCTTTGTCAGCAACAGGAGAGTGGGATTGAGTGCACCCTCAGCAAGTCTGCCAATTACTCCAAGCTGTGTGGTGCAGTCAACATGCTAGAGGTAAGGGATGTCATCCAGAGGGACCTTGCCACTTTCGAAAGATGGGCTCATATCTCATCAAGGCTAAGTGCAGGTTCTACATGTGGGTCAGGGCAATCCCAAGCACAAATACAGTCTGTGCAAATAACTGATTAAGAGCAGGCCCGAGGAGAAAGAACTGGGGGTGTTGGTTGAAAGAAGATCAACATGACCCAGCAGTGTGAGTCTGTTGCCCAGAAAGTCAACCATATACTGGGCTGCATCAAAAGAAATGTGACCAGCAGGTCAAAGGAGATGATTCTCCTCCTCTGAATCATGAGACCCTACCTGGAGTACTGCATCCAGCTCTGGGGCCTCAAACACAAGAGGTGCATGGACCTGCTGTAGCAAGTCCAGAGGAGGCCACAAAGTTGCTCTGAGTGCTGGAGCACCTCTCCTGTGAAGACAAGCTGAAAGACTTGCAACCTGGTCTAGTGGCAGGTGTCCCTGTCCACGGCAGGGTATCTGGGACTAGATAATCTTTAAGGTCCTTTCCAACCAAAACCACTCTATGACTCTATGTTCTGCACAGCTTCCCCAAACACTCTGAACTTAGTTAAATGGTGTATTAAATGAGGACAGGTTATCCATAGTTAGTCCATTACTAAAATATTTCTCTCTGGTGGCAAGTAACAGTTTTCAGCAAAAGTATGCAATAGTAGTGGAAAAAAAAAATGGATTATAAC